TGTGCACACGAGGAAAAAAGGCTCCTCTGCAGCAGGGGGAGCAGGTTTTGCACACTGGGGGAAGCAAAGAAGTCCTGAGCTGGGCTGTCTGACACCCAGGTTCAAGGAAGTGCTCCTGATGCTGCAAAAAAGGCTTTGACAAGAGTAGCCAGTGAGACAGTTCCCAGGCTCTCCCAGCAGCAAGGGGAATGCAGGAAGCTCCAAGCAGAAATACCTCACATCCCCACAGCAGCAGAAACCTTCATTGCACAAAGGCAGGGGCACAAGCTGGAGGTATGGCAGCATGAAACAGAGCAGGGAAAGCAGCAAAAGCCATATTCATCTGCCCGGGACCCTGCAGCAACACAGGGCACCTGAAACTGTCCTTGGGTGGGGACAAAGCCACTGTGGCTTCTGCTGCTGCTGCATCCAGGAAGGTGCAACCACCAGAGCTCAGCTGAAAGAAGGGAAAAGTTGCTCCCCTGCTACAACAAGCAGGGAATTGTACACTGCAGCCCACAGCACCAGCACCTCCCCACAGACCAGAGAGATGCCAGCAATCCAGGCAGTGAAGGGCACAGGGTGGAGAAAAAGGCAACCTGCCAGACACCTGCAATAGCACGAGCAACTTGCACATGCACACACGCTGCACTGCTCCATGGGTGGCTGAGGATCAAACCTCCCACACCAGCAGGCATTTGGGTGGAAGATGAACAAGCACACAACCTCTTGCTATGCACTCATGTCTGCAGTGGAAGCATCCAAATCCTGGAGTACCTCCAAGCTTTTCTGGATACCACGCAAACACCATCAGTAGCTGCCTGCTCTCCTTCGCCTCTGTGAAAAGGCATCACTTGTGATTTCTCTTCTGGTTGAGAATAATTCTTGCTCCAGCAAAAGAAATGGCAGGTGGGGATGGGGAGGGGGGGAACTGCAAAGATTTAGTGCACCATAAAACTGAAGGATATCTAACCTGCCCTCAGGTCTCACTCCTAGACAGGAATGAACTATGTCATCGCCTACATTCACAACCACTCCAAACACACCGAGACGCATGCATAATGTCCTGCTTCCAGTCAGCTGCAGAAAGCCCCTCTCAGGCAGAGATGACTGCTGGCACTGGGCTCTGACTGGGCACCAGCTCCCACACTGCTCCCAGGCCCTTCCAAGTCCCAGACAGCATGGCAACATGCTGATTATCCATCTGAAATGCATAGGTAGAGACATCGAGGGGAAGGGTGACTGCACAACCCCCCATGTCTGGCAGGCATGGGCTCCTCTACTACAGCTAATGGGGTGGAAAGCAGCATTTGCCACAGGCACGGTTTTATCATGCTCCTGCTCCTCACACTTTCCTGCAAGGAGGCAGGAGATGGTTAGATAAGACAGCCTTTTTTCCAGCCACAAGCCCTAGAAGCACTTAAATCCACTTCCTGGGACCAGCTTGGCAATTCCTCTCCACAGCCAGGCCAAGCTCATGCTCTCTTTCCAACTGTGGAACTTCCAACCACAGCTACAAAGGCAGGCGAACTCAAGAGGTCTGCTTTGGCTCAGGAATCCCACTCATTTGCACCACACCAACAGCACCAAGGTCCCCACATGCACGCACCAGTGCGTGCCCCGGTGCTGTGCTACTTGGGAGGTATAACAACTATAGGCTGGCCTCGCTTGGGTCTCCACATGAGGACTTGGGCATCGTTGGCATTGGGTTTCACTAGTGCATTTGGTGGGATGGGCTCCATCCTGCTCAAGATCCGGGGCTGCTCCTGCTGAGTCCTTCCCACCAGTCGTGCCCGCTGCCCCAGGAGCTGCATGGGATCAACCTCAATGTCCACTCGCATCCGCCACTTTATAGTCTGCAAGATGATCTTTTCCTTGGTAGTGGTGTTCATGGCTACCAGCCACGTGGTAAAGCTCTGGTCCCTTTTAATCCTGGTCAGCAACGGCACATTACTGTTGCTCACAGGGACAGCCCACGTCACGCTGGGGTAGAAATTGTCATTCATGCTCACCGAGAACCTGGAGATCTTGTTTGTGGGCCCAACCAGGGTCACAGTTTCTGTGGTGTTTCCATACCAGGGGTAGCTCACTCCATCAGAATCACTGATGGCTTTTACTCTTCCTTCTCGCAAGTCGGGCAGCTCCCAGCTTGACCTGGTGAACAGAGATGGAAAGGGCAAGTTACTGGGGAAACAGCAACAGCAGTGCTTGAGCAGTGCCTGCAGTGGAAGGAACATAGCAAGCTGCTGTGTGCTGGCACGTGCAGGGTAAAGCACTTGCTTTAGAGCAGAAGGAAAAAGTACAGATAAAAGGATAACAATTCTATCTGAAACCCCACTGAAAAAGCCATTCCTTCCAGAGCCACTGGCAGCTCCATACCAGCCAAAGCTGTTCACCAGTGTCTGTCTCTGGCATCACCCATCGGGTCCTCCCTCTGGGAACACTAACTCAAGAACAGAGCTTGGGAAACACCTTCCCACCCGCAGGAAGCCCCTGATGACCTCGTTCAAGAACAAATTCAGCTTTAGCTCCTTCACTGAGTCAGTCAAGGCCAGCAGGAGCCTCTGCTCTGCCAACACAACAGCATTTTAATTAACCTGCAATCTAACCAAGTGGGCCCATACTCATTTCTGAGTGACTCTCAGGTCACTCTCTCCTTAATCTCATTAATGACGAGAAAAAAATAACAGCCTTCCCTGCATGTCAGCTGCAGCATGGCCACAACCTGCACCAAGCCTCAAGCAGCTTCCCCCAGCCTACAGCTCAGTCTGCAATTTTTACACCCCTAAATATAGACATTTGCTAAGACGCAGGTGCAGTAATTAAATACCACAATCATGCCTGCTGCTGGTGTGACGAAATCCCTGACATATTGTTAGAGTTGTGGGTGGGGGGGAATTCCAGCCAAAATCTTGGCTGCAAACCACGTTAGCAACACCAGGCAGATGCAGCGATGGAGAAGATCACCACGTGGTAATTATCAGCAGGGAGCGGGGACAGTGGCCACCCAGCTCAGCAAGACCCAGCCCAGCTCACACAGATCTTTCCTGAAATCCTAAGAACAAAAAAAGCAGAAATTCTTTGGATGCTGAATCTGCATTTTCAATTTAAAACGCAGACAGAGGAGGCTGTGCTAGGTCTCCATCCTGAGGCACATCAGGTTCCCAGTATGTGAGTATCTGAAAAAAACTGGCTGTACCACTGCTGGATATCAAAGGAAGGAGAACAAAACAGAAACCTTGAAAGTCCTCAGGCATATTGCTCCGGTTGAAGCCTCCTGCTGAGCTCAGATGCACACAGATCTGGGCTCTGAAGCTGCCAACGAGCAGCAGGAAGCATCTGGTTTCCATCCTTCCCAACATGCAATGATCTGCACTCACTCTGACCCTCCTGGGCACCCCAGTGTTGCACACAACAACGCCACCTGCTCTGAAAGTAAGGAGGATGGGGTCATCCCCAGCATCCCCTGCCTGCGCCCAGCCCCACACTAACTCCACTGGCCCAATGGCTGGCTTGGGGCAATACTGAAGGCAGCTCATCTGTGGCCTCCAGGTCCCTCTGCCCTTGAGGAAGGGCAGGAAACTGGAGGAAATTGATCCCGACACAGCACCGCAGCCTCTGGCACCCACAAGAAAACCCAAGCAGGGTTCTACTTTCAGGAAGGGCAGCCAGGATAGAGCAGGCAAACTCAGCAGCTTGAGGCAAACCCGAGGCTGGTGCCAGCTGCTCCTGCTCCCCAGCAGGATCAGGGCTGGGAGAGCTGCTCCAGCCCAGCACTGCAGCAGCAAGAACAGCCCTGCAGGCGAGGGCAGGCAGCACCATCTCTCCTGTCAGGAAGCCATGGCAGCCCAGAGCTGTGTGAAGTGCCACCTACTTCCATGCCGAGGATTGCCAGGGCAGCCTCCATCTGCTCCCTCCCTTGGAAATGCAAGCAGACTGACTCCGATAGTGACAGCACATCTTCCAGCATGGGGTTGAGGAGAGAGGGTGCTTTTCTAGAGCTGGAAAGTGATGGAAGGGAGCAACTCCTGTGCCTGCACTCCTACACACCAAGGCTCACACTAAGGGCGGAAAGGACAGCACATGCTGTGCTGGAAGGGATGTCCAGAGCCCACAGTTTCTGAGGCTGGGAATCCTCATTTCCAGCAAGGGCTGCCTCACAGAAATGCAGTAGTGCCTTCAACCCATCACAGACCCATCCCAGGGCCCCAGTCTAATCCCAAAACCATACCAGGGCCCCATCTCCTCACATAATGATACTGGGGCAACCGTCTCCTTACAGAACCACACCAGGGCCTGTATTGTGTCATGGGCTCCAGCGCCTCACCTAACTGCACCAGGGCATCCATTCCCTCATGTAACCATGTAGGACCCACGTTTGTTCCCATAAGTGCATCAGGTCCTCCAGCTCCTCACGCTTCCGCCCCCTCAACGAACCACACGACGACCCCTATCTGTTCATATAACCACACTAAGACCTCCATCCCCTCACATAGCCGTTCCATAACCTCCATTCTGCCACGTAACCGCGCTGGGGACTCCATCCCTTCGTGGGGTTACACGGGAACCTCGAACCGTTCACACAGCCGCACCAGGACCTCCACCCCTCACAAACTCAGCTCAGGACCGCCATTCCCGCACATAAGGACATCCGCTCTCGCCCGCACACCCTCCCCTGCCACCCCTCAGGTGCGCCGCAGTGCCGCCCGCTGCCGCCCCCCGCCCGCTGCCGCTCCCGCCCTCCCGCTCCCGCCGCTCACACGCCGAGGTCGCTGTAGGTGTTGTAGAACTCCATGTGGTTGCAGGCCTGGATCCAGCCCACCACCCAGGTGTGGCGCCGGGCGATGGGCGGCATGAGGACGCGCGCCGAGGCGCGGAAATAGGGCGTGCGGTACCGCAGCACCACCGGCGAGCTCTCCTCGATGGCAGTGGCCGCCGGCTCGATGGTGGCCGACACGTCGGACACCACGATGTGCTCCCGCCGCACCCGCGCCTTGCAGGCCACGCTCTGCAGGCAGCCCATGGCCGCCGCCCCGCCGCCTCCGCCGCGCTCACCCTCCTCCGCGACGCGGGGGCCAGGCGGAGGCCCAGCGTCCCCTCGCCGCCCGCCCCACCATCGCCGCCCGCGCACCGGCGCCCGCACCGGCGCCGGCAGGGCGAACGCGCCGCCGCTTCTCTTGCGGCCCTCGCCGGCCACCGTCCGCCGGCTCGGGGCGGGGCGGGGAGGAACGGGAGGGATCCTCCGGCCAGCAGGGGGCGCCGCAGCCCCGCGCTTCGTCCTGGCGTCCGTGTTCCCTAGCAACCGAGAGGCGGCGGAAGCGGAAGTTCGGCAGCCCGGCGGCGGGCGGAACGGAGCTCCGCCGCGGGGCCCGGCGGCGCGGGTACCGGGACGGCTGGGCCGCAGGAGGCGGGGTTACAGCGGGGGCCGCCGGCGGCGAGCCTCCTGGCGGTGGGTGACCCGCGTTGGCCTTTCCGGGCCCGGCCCCACCGCCATGCCCAGTCCCCGCGGCGGCCGCGAGCGCCGCAGCGCTCGCCCCGAGTTCGCGTCCCTGCTGAACCAGCGCGGCCCCGGGGTCCCGGACAGCCCGTCCCGCCGCCGCGAGTCGGCCGGCTCCGCGCCCCCGCCGCTGCCCGAGGAGGACTGCATGCGGCTGAACCCGTCCTTCGTGGGCATCGCCCTCAGCTCTCTGCTCGCCGTCGACCTCTGGGCCTCCAAGCGCCTGGGTGTGTGCGCCGGAGAGGCCTCGGCTTGGGGCAGCGCCCGCCCGCTGCTGAAGGTGGTTGAGGTGTCAGGGCACGGCATCCCCTGGCTGCTGGGCACCTTCTACGGGCTCTGCCAGAGCGACAGCTCGGCCGCCAGGGAGGTGCTGCTCAACCTGTTCTTCGGTGAGGCCGGGAAGGGGCTCCCCGGGCGGGAGGATGGGTCCGAGGGAAGGGAAGAACAGAGAGAATCCGAATGATCTGAGCCTTCGCAGCCCCAGGGAGCCACGTGGCTCCCAACAGCTGTTGTGGCTGCCAAGAGCTGCGGCATCTCAACAGTTTACTCAAGCACGCAGACATCAGCGCCTGCAGGCTCGCTGCAGGCAGTACCTGCTTGTGCTGATCTGTATCAGCCAGTGTGGAAACCTGGTTCAAAGCACACACTGTAATTATGCGTGGTGTAATGTTTTTTTCCCCTGGCGTCCTGCTGGGTAGATGTAGATTCTACATTTTTGCTTGCCTAGAAACTGCAGTAGCTTCAGAACGATAGACCTCTCCTGAACCCCAGTCCTTACCCCGTGAGATACCAAGGTGTCTTGTGTGCTTTGTTTGAATCTAAATGTTTGATGGGGAATGCAAGTTTTCATGCATGTTGTTTACTTTGCACTGTGTGGTCAGATCACTGTCCCTGGAGAACTGGTGGGAGGCCCTTGGTGGCCTCCAACCATTGCTCTGCTCAGAGTAGCACTATCATGGCACCAGGCCCGCCCTCTGGGAAAAGAGCCCTACCTGATATCCAGATGCAATAAAAAGAAAGGATTGAAAAGAGCTTAGTTGTTTTAAGAAAAAAAAAAAAAACAACCCTCATACAAATCAAACATTTGTTCTTAAATGATTAAAACCCTCATACAAATCAAATAAACATTCATTCTTAAATGATTAACCAAAGAGAACAAACTGAAGTAGCCAAAGGACTTTGTACCCAGCAACAAAGGTTACAACAAGCAGATATCAATCTCTCAGACATGGCTTCCTAGAAAGAAGCAGCCACAGCAGCCAACACTGGAATGTTGTTATAAACAAGCTAAATGGGAGAGAGAAGACACCGCTGGCTGCCCTTGTCAGACAGCAGTTGACTTCTCACTGGTACTTCTGACTTCTATCACAATAGCACTCTGGGAGAAAGCTGGTGCTAAGCCATCTTGTCAAGTCTTAAAAGCCAAAGCCTGGTTACCTTTTACACACTGGTGCCCTCAACAGCAGGGAGAAGCCAGGTGAGGAGCTGTGAGCCCTCAGACTGCTGAGGAGTGCCTGGACCCCCTTTGCACTGAGCCACAGCTGAGCACCGGAAGCAAACTGATCATTTACCAGGGTCAGTGCACTTTGTGCAAAGTAATGATGAATCAGCATGGACTGGCAGGGAATATTAACCCCTTGGATGGCTTCAAATTAGGGAAGGATTTGTGCTGAGTCACAAAGAACGGATTTCACACAGGAAGAAAAGCCCAGCCTAGAGTGCTGACAGATGTGCTCGTGCACAAATCTAGGGCCTGGATGAGTGCTATGCTCTCCTTGCCTAGATCTGCAGCCGTGGGAAACACCACCTTCTCTTAGCAGCTTTGGTAGCTATGCATTTTCATACATAATGGCTTTGCATTGTTTCTCATCTCCCATGGGACAAAACACTTCCATTTTTGCTCACTTGTTGTTATTGTCTCCTAGCACTGGTGCTGGATCTCGTGCTGGTGGCAGTGGTGAAAGGGATCGTCAGACGGCCACGGCCTACCCACAACAAGATGGACATGTTTGTCACTGTCTCAGTGGACAAGTACTCCTTCCCATCGGGCCATGCCACCAGAGCTGCCCTGGTCTGCCGCTTTGTTCTGCACCACCTGGTGCTTGCCATCCCACTGCGGGTCCTCGTGGTGCTCTGGGTTCTCGTCGTTGGCATTTCAAGGGTCATGCTGGGCAGGCACAATGTGACGGATGTGCTCTTCGGCTTGTTCCTGGGCTACGTGCTGTACAGCGTGGTGGAGTACTGCTGGCTCTCCCCGCTGAACGCGCCTGCCCTCTTTGCACTCTGGAGCCATTGATGGCTGCACCCCTCCCAAAGGAGAGGGCATACACCCCGTTCCCTAAGTGCACATGGAGAGGGGTTATGCTGCGACTCCTATCCGTCCAGCCAACACTTAACACTAGTGGTGCTGCAGGCTCCCAGGCCTGCAGTTAGACACTTGGTGCTGTCTTGCCCTGCTGACAGGCAGTGAGGCAAAGCGTGCGCTGGTCAAGCAGCTGCACTGACTACTCTCCAGTGACAAACCGGTCCCTGCAGAGCCTGGGAAGAGGTCAGCACATCCATCCGGCAGCTCACTGCTGATACTGTGAATCAGCATGCCCTTGCTGGGCACCTGCTGTATTAGCCTATGGTGTATGTGGTAGCTGGGGCTTTGCAGAGGTTTCTCCGCAATTACCTGTGTATCTGTGTGCTATAAATACACTGATCATGTTGCTGTTGTGAGTGCACTTTCTGCAGTCTCCTCCATAATACCCATCTAGGGGGGGACTCATCAAGATCTGTTCTCATGTTTATAAAGAGTTCTGCCTTCTAAGTAATGTCTCTTCCCTTTTTTGTGTGATTTAAACACTGCCCCAAGACCAGATCTCAACCAACAAGGTCACATGTATCTGGCTGCCAGTACTGTGGGGAAGGAATGAGGTGGCCAAGGGTTTGGTCCATCTGTTCCCTCTCCAGGAGGTGTGGAAGCAGCTCCCAGCAGCAGCTTGCATCTAAAGCCGCTGTGCATAGCCTTACAACTCTTTTCCCTCCTGCAAGCTTTTCCATTGCCCAGGGGTTACAGCTTGCCCCATGGCACCCATATAGGATGCAATAAGTGCAGCAGAATGCATGGCATTGGGCATGTACTGAGCAAGTCAGGGGCAGAGTCCAGGTCTTGAGGACTTTTGGCCCCTTTTCCCACTGCCAAGGGCAGTGCAATGGCAAGCTGTGCAGCAGTTTCGCAGCACAGCTGGAAACCAGCAACCTTAGTGTAATCAGGGCTGGGCTGATCCCAGAGGAGGCAAAAGTCCAAGGGAGTGATCGATTGTACTGCATGCATGACACAGGGCTGGGCTGCCCCTCACCCCCTCACCAGCCCCAGAAACCCCAATAGCGTTCCCTCTCAAGGTGTCCCCTCGCAGGGCTCCCCGGTTGAGCACTGGGACAGCTCCTGGCGCAAGCCGCTGATGGAAAAGCAAAGCGCCAGAACCTGCCGTGCGCTGGCTTCCTGCCCCAAGGCCCCCGTGGGAGGAGTGACGGCGGGGGTGGGTAGGCTGTTCCCCGCCATACGCCATAAATCCAGGCTGCGCTGGTCGCGGCAAAGCGTCGGAGGGCAGCATGGCGAGGCGGGTGGCCATCATCGGTGGGGGCAGCTGTGGGCTGTGCGCCATCAAAGCCTGCCTGGATGAAGGGCTGGAGCCCGTCTGCTTCGAGAGAAGTGGGGACATCGGAGGGCTATGGAGGTTTGAGGTAAGCTGTGCCGGCTGCAGGCTCTGTGTTGTAGCTGTCACCAGGGGAAAGCAGCCATGGTGGGATTGTGGAGGAAGGGCTGAACACACATCTGTTCCCCATCCCAGAGGGTCCTGGGGACCCTCGCTGGCAGCAGAACTCCCCCAGCCCTATTGCAAGGCAGTGACCTGCCATAGGGCAGGCCATCAGGATTCTGAGCCCCATGCCTGCAGGAGAAGCCTGAGGAGGGCCGCGCCAGCATCTACCGCTCCGTTATCATCAACACTTCCAAGGAGATGATGTGCTTCAGCGACTTCCCCATCCCCGACGACTTCCCCAACTACATGCACCACTCCAAGGTCATGGAGTACTTCCGCATGTACGCGCGGCGCTTCGACCTGCTCCGCCACATCCGCTTCAGGGTGAGCGCCGGGGGCCAGGGGGCAGCACGGGGACGGGGCCACAGGGACGCTGACATCTGCTCCCCCCACCCAGACCAGTGTGCGCCGCGTGGCCAAGTGCCCTGACTTCGCCACCACGGGCCGCTGGGAGGTGGAGACCGAGAGCGAGGGCAAGCAGGAGTCAGCCATCTTCGATGCCGTGATGGTGTGCACCGGGCACCATTGTGAAGCACACCTCCCGCTGCACACCTTCCCTGGTATGCTGCCGTGTGCCCCTGCCATGAAAGAGCCCAGGAAGCTCCAATGTTGTTGTCCCCATTCTCCTCTTTGCTTTTCTTCCCAGTCCCATGCGTTTCCCTGCTGAGTTCAACCCCCTGATGGGTCTGGCAGAGCTCCTCAAGGATCTTGCTTCATTCTTTGGAGGCAGCCCTCCAACCCAGGCTGGGGAAGCACAGCATTCCTCCTCCCTCCCCACAGGCATTGAGAAGTTCAAGGGCCGCTATCTCCACAGCCGTGACTACAAGGAACCCCAGGAGTTCATGGACAAGAGGGTCGTTGTCATTGGGATTGGGAATTCAGGGTCAGACCTGGCCGTGGAGATCAGCCAAGCGGCCAAGCAGGTGAGCAGCAGCAGGGGGGGGTCACCAGAGGCAGGGCATCCTAAGGACACCCCCATGCCAAGGTGTCTCCTCAGGACTGTCCTTGGTGTCCCCGTGACTATCACACCAATAAGGAAACAACTTTCTTCCTCACCCAGGTCTTCCTCAGCACCCGCCGAGGTGCATGGGTCTTGAACCGCGTAGGACAGCAGGGCTACCCCATAGACACCATCATCACCACTCGCATGAAGATAATCTTGAAGTATCTGCTGACCGCCTCCGTAGCAAGCGACTACACAGAGAAGCAGCTGAACATGAGATTTGACCACATAAACTACGGCCTGAAGCCAAAGCACAGGTGCCAGCAAACACATGCTCCAACCATGTCTATTTCTGGGGCTAAGCATCCTCAGAGCAGGATGCTGCACAGACACCTCAGTACCCTGATGGCTCCTTCTGTCCTCCAGGGTCCTTGACCAGCACCCAACTATCAATGACGACCTGCCCAACCGCATCATTTCAGGCAGGGTGCTGGTGAAGCCGAACATCAAGCAGTTCACAGAAACATCTGCCATTTTTGAAGATGGCACTAAGGAAGACATAGATGCTGTAGTCTTTGCCACTGGGTACAGTTTCTCCTTCCCCTTCCTTGAGGGCTACGTGAAGGTGGTGGAGAACCAGGTCTCTCTCTACAAGTTTATGTTCCCTGTTGACCTGGAGAAGCCGACGTTGGCTTTCATTGGCTACATCCAGCCTCTGGGAGCCATCATGCCCATTGCAGAGATGCAGAGTCGCTGGGCCACCCGTGTCTTCAAGGGTAAGTGAGACAAACTGTCCCCTGAGACTGCAGCTCTGGAACCGGGTCAGATGGTGTCCAGCCATCTGCTTCCTATGCCTTTGGTACTGCAGCCCCCTCACACAGCGCTCTTCTCCCCAGGGCTGAACAAACTGCCACCCAGGCACAACATGGAAGCTGACATCAAGCACAAGAAAGAGGAGATGGCCAAGCGGTAAGGCCCCACCAGGACCCAACTGGGATGGGGCAGCAGCCTGTGAGGGCTTCTAGTGGGTCTCATGGCCACGTCCCACCAGAAAGCAGGGTCCAGCCCGCTGTCCCTGCCCACAGGTACGTGACCAGCCGGCGGCACACCATCCAGGTGGATTACATTCCCTACATGGACGAGCTCGCCAGCCAGCTGGGTGCCAAGCCCAACCTGCTGTTGCTCTTCCTCACTGACCCCAAGCTGGCAATGGAGGTGCTGCTGGGGCCCTGCACGCCCTACCAGTACCGCCTGCGTGGCCCAGGTGCATGGCAGGGTGCCCGGGAAGCCATCATGTCCCAGCACCAGCGCATTATTCAACCCCTGAAGACACGGCATGTGGAGCAGCACACCTCCACCATGCCATTCCTCCTCAAGCTGGCTGGGGCCCTGGCAGTCTTCGCTGTCATCTTTACCTACCTGTAGGCTGCTGCACTCTGCCTGGTGGGGTTGGTAATGCTTGGGGGGCTACACAATCCCACAGCAGTCATGCCCCTCACATCAAGGGAACTCTCCGCTTGTTGGCACAGCCCCACACAATGAGTGTACTGCACCAGACCCTCCCAGGTGGGGCAGACCCAAAAAGTACCCTGTGGCAACCCTGGGATGAAGGAAAAATTCTTTCTCATGTGGGGGAATGCCCTGTCCTGTTTAGGTATTGCTGTTGGCTGAGCATAGGCCCTTCTGTCATCTGTAATTCCAACCTGCTTCCACTGATTATATTCATATGGTTTCTACATAGCAAAGGTATAGCAAAGTTTCTAATCAGATTAAAGTGTTTTCAACAAACCAGTTGCCTGTCCTGTTACTCACATTCCCCTGTGTGCTGAGAATACACATGGGATGGGGTCTGCATGCATGCACACACATGCATACATCTGCAGCAAAGCAGTCTTGCCTGCGGTACATGCAGCTGGAACAGATCCCGGGGATCACATCAGCAAGATCATTCCCATCCCTGTAACACACACGTAGCCCCCCAGAGGACAGCAACTGGGGACATGCATTGGGGACCTGGAGCAGTGCTAGCTGCTCCAGGCTGCCATGCACCAAGGCTGGCACTCATGCCTGGAGCATGCCCTCTGTTTTGTTTTTCACATAGTGATGCTAAAATTTGGAGCATGGCCACATCTCAGCCCCACACCCAGGAAGTTGCTGGGGCAGGCTTCAGCATCATTACGTGCTTAGAGAAAATAATGAGCCCTTTGCGAAGGGCGGGCAGGAACCTGTAGATCATGTCTAGATGAAACATCTCGTGATGCCTCAGTTGACCTCAGCCATCCACGCTGAGAAACAGGGACACCCAGCACAGCTGAGCGGCACCAACCGCGTCCCTCCTGTGCCACTCACCAGACTCAGTGACCTCCTGCGTGCCCAGCAGCACAGCCTCCCCTGCCACCACTGCTGTCTCTGCTGCCAGACATGGCTGCCCAGAGAGTAGCCATCATCGGTGCTGGCGCCTCCGGCTTGTGCGCCCTGAAATGCTGCCTGGACGAAGGGCTGACCCCCACCTGCTTCGAGAGGAGTGGGGACATCGGGGGGCTGTGGCGATTCGAGGTAAGCACCATGCTGTACCGAGCTGCCCTAGGCAGCAGCACAGACAGGATCGCTTACTGGCAGCTGATGAAGCACTGCTGGGAGACCCCCTTGGCGCAGACTGGGATGCTGGCAGTGCAGGACTGGTCCTGCCCAAGAAGCCACTGCTGGGGCTAGCTGTCAGCTGAGGCTTGCTTTCCTGCCTCAGGGTGAATGTTTCCCATCCCTTCCTTCCCAGCCCGTCCTGATCCCACCCATCCCTCCCACTGGTCCCACCTGCCTCCCTCCCCCACCCCTGCAGGTGCCCCACTGCCGATGGCATTACCTTCCTATCCTTCCCAGCCCCTTTTTTCTATGAACGTCCTGGCTGCTCCTCATCCTTTACCTCTCCTACCTCCTACACATAGGCACAGGTTGCTGCCTTTGTTCTCCTTGCCAAGGGAAAGCCCCAGAGCTTGTTTCTGCATTCGCCAAGCGATGCCACTGTCTCTTCTTCCCAAGAAGAGCCAACCTGACATGCTCTGCTGC